AAGAGTGCCCCCTGGTGCCTCTCAGGTAGCAGTGTGCCTCCAGAGCTGAGTGAACAGGAAACACTGCCTCTAACTGTGGTCAGGCTTTGTTGTTACTGTCGGACACAGATTACAGCAGTGGTGTGTCTATAATTGTATGCAGCAGTCTTGCTTGGGGTATTTGCTTGTTGTTGTGGTTCCACATCCATCCTTGTGTCAGTCACAGTTATCTTTCTAGTGCAGGCAACTGCAGTGGGAATATTTTAATTAAGATACTTTATCACAATGAAAGCATGATTTGTCAGCATTAGGGCTGTGCCCTCATTTGTTTTAAGTGAAAATTAGGGTGAAAAAAAGGATAAAGCTTTTTTAATGTTACTTTTTCATGTGATGGTTGCCTTTTTCTTGCTGTGATTAATGACAAATCACTTCATTTTCTGCCGGTGGGTCGACTCATGTGAAAACTGTTAACCATATTTTACAGTCCTGTGAGCTAAATGCTACTCCAGAGTTTGTTTTCTTTTTTTTTTTTTAAATACTAAATATTGGCACAAATTACAAGTAGTTTTAATACAAAAATGGGACGCTGGAAGACAATGTTGAGCCTTTTCAGTGTCGTGGGCCCAAATCGAAGAAACACCAGTTAGTGTGAGGGTGCCCACCTGATGACCCTGTAGATTTGCCTTCACTCCTACACCCACATAATATAGTTACTGACTAACTGGGGTTGTTAGTAGTGTATTCTTGTATTCTCTGTTTTGTTAGACAATCTTAGTAGAACAATGTCAGTGGATGGACAACTGAGTGGACCCGGCTCTCAGAGGTGACTGCCTGAGCAAATACAATGCAGAAGTCACATATATGCTGTCTGCTCGGGTGAGGATAGGGTTCAGGGTAAGTTTGGTCTGGAAAATTGTGTTGTTTATTGTGGGACTCTGAAGATTTATGACACCATGGCCTGACACCCCGCTCTTTGCAGCCAAATAATGGGTAAACATCATTTAACTTGAATACTGAGCTTCCATATGAATGCTCTACCATTCTTTGGCACATTTTGGCAGCTCCTCATTTTTTATGTAAGGAGTGTGTATCAACTTTTGGAGAGTGTGACAAATTGAGGCCCTCAGCACTGTGATAGAGGGAACCAGGGCCATTGAGCCTGCATTATTCATGAGGACCGGGTATGCCGAGCTGTGATACAGTGTCTACCACAGTAGTAAGGATACAGTCAGAATGTCAAACTGTACAGGCACAGGGCATCTCCCTGAGTGAGAGTTAGGTAGTGATTTTTAATATGTTAAAACCAACTATAGTGAATTAAACACAACATTAAAACCACCGGCGAAGGTGAAGTGAATAACACTGATTATCTTGTTACAGTGGCACCTGTCAAGGGGTGCCATACAGTGTATTAGGCAGCAAGCAAATGCTCTGTTCTTGAAGCCTGATATGTTGGAAGCGGAAAAAGAATGGGCAAGTGTAGGATCTGAGTAATTCTGACAAGAGCTAAAGTGTGATGATGAGAGAGCTGGGTTAGAGCATCTCCAACACGACAGGTCTTGTGGGGTGTTCCCAGCCTACAGTGGCCAGTACCTACCAAAAGAAAGGACAACCAGTGAACAGGAGACAGGGTCATGGGCGCCCAAGGCTCTTTGATGTGCATTGCTCATCTGGTCCAATCCTGCAGAAGAGCTACTGAAGCACAAACTGCTGAAACGTATTGCTGATAGATGTCAGAACATAAAGTGCATTGCAGCACAGCTTTCTGTGTACAGGCTCTGTAGACGCGGGGGCTACTGGGCTCTTCCAACAGGGTAATGTGTCCTGCCACATGGCAAAAAAGTGTTCAGAAATGTTTGAGGAACATGACAAAGACTTCAGTGTTGCCTTGGCCTCCAAATTCCCCAGAGCTCAATCAGTGGGATGTACTGGAAAATAAGCCCGATCTATGAAGGTGCCACCTCGACACCTACGGGCTAATATCTTGTGTCATAGAACACCTTCAGAGGTTTTGTGGAATCCATGCCTCAATAGGTTAGAGCTGTTTTGGCAGCACAAGGGGACCTACACAACATTAGAGAGGTGGTTTAAATGCTATGGCTGAGCAGTGTACATTATAATAAACGGGTTCAGAGCCTATCATACTGTAGATCTTGAATCTGGACTATTAAACAGTGCCCTCTTACATTAGCACGTTATTTAATCCATACTGCAGGTTCCTCATTATTATTGGTACAGTACCGTATATACTATAGGTTTAACATCTAACAGTCCTAACAAATGGCAGCCTGCCATTATTGTTGCCTTAGGCAAGTCTTGTCATTGTGAAAGAAATCTCATGGCGAGGCTTCTCATGTTTTATCCACAGTATATTCATCTTTCTCAAGTTATTAAAACAAAAGTAAACCTCAGCAATTAGGGTAAAAGATGAGACACAAATTAAATGGTTTACTTGCAACAGAAATAACATGTATTCCCAAAACCCGTTGCAGAAGTAATAAGCTTGATATCTTCATTTTTCTTAATATGGGGATGAGGTACAAAGTGGTTTGGGAATATAGGACTTTAATATAAAATCAAAACCCTAATTTAGGACACAGCAGAGAAATGATGATAAAACCAAGAGGTACTTGCACCATCTCTCAGCTCTGGATAACACAACAATACAAACCAAGTAAATAAAAGCAAGGTGAGACTTCAATACCTCTTTTTTTTATTAATTCTGACACACTGCGGTCAGATAGAAAAGTATGAGTTACACTTTTCAAGTTATGTCCATGATTTGTGCAAACACTAGACGGTATCTGGGGTAAACTTGTGAAGGGACAACGAACTGGAAAAGAAAGACATCAAAATGCTGAGGAAATGAATAAGTGCATTTAAACCTAGTTTTTATGCTGTATTTATTGATTCCCAGCTTCATATAAACTGGATGCTGAGGCATAAACATAGTACATTTGAACAAAAATATAACCGATATTTACAATTATTGTATTAAAAATACAAAAACAACTGATACATACTCCACCAATTGTCTTTTTAAAAGACATACAGGTCAAAGTAGTACAAGAAAGAATGAAGGAAAGAAGGTTGTCACCAGCTAAATGTACATCTCACTGACATCACATCAAACGCAGTAGCAGTTCTACCTACTACACTTATCTTTACGCTTGTACATTTTTGTGCAACTTTTTGTTTTTCAAAATAGGACTCAGCCCGTTAATATGCACATTATCTTTAGTTTGAAAGTGAATGATGCATGTCACCACTGTAACAAATTATTAACAATGTACTGTATCTTCAGCCATTACAAAAATTACAATAAAGAAAGGATACCCAGGAAATTATTAGTGTGTAGTCACAGAACACAGTGAAAAACACTGCACTCATTCATCTTTTTCTCAGTCTGTAGTTTCCAAGACTGATCAATGTGATCAGTGCGACTCAGAAAACACAAAGTTACTTTTCACAACTGGATTTCTAATCCTTTTTATTGGCGGTCTTGAAAACATGTTTCTTCATATGTCTACTTCTCCACCGGAGTCAAAGAAAATAAAACTTCAGTCAGTTCCACTGATGGCAAGATAAGGTGGAAAACCGGATGCAGGCGTTAGCGATATCCGTATAGGATCTACTTAGCTAATGTCTGTAACAGGTGAGAAGAGTTTCTCAGGATGAATCTAGTAGCACAACAGCAGAGGGAGAAGTGCAGGGTCACTGGGTGTGTAGACAAAAACATCTGTAATGGCCACAGCTAAAACATTATGCTGCCATGTGAAGCCACATTGCAACAACACAAAGAAAGTGCTTGACTTCATCTTGTACTGAGTCTTAATCTATTAAAAGTAATGGGAAGTATCTTCAATAAGGCATTTCACTCCACTATTGCTTGAATCAAGGCTGTGCCTGAAACAAGGTGATTCATGATGTTAGCAACCACTTAAAAGTAATGTCTGCAATCTTAAGGCGCTTTGGTCATTCACACAATGCGGCGTATGTTCAGGTTGGGGAAAAAAGCCAAATCCTAATTAGTGGGTACTTTTATTCTGAAGTGAAATATGTGGATCATAAGACTCTGTACAAGATATATTTGCAAATGTAGACTGTTCAAGGTACAACTGGCAGCTTCTAAATTCTGCTGATGTTTAAACCTTTCCTAATGTACGGGAGTGCTCACTTAATGGTCACCATTTGTACTTCCTTTATGAATTTTAAGAATTCCTGCCTGTGTCCATTCCTGACAGCAGCTTTCAATTTGGGCTTCAAGCGTCTCTACTGCTGCTGCACCATGTGACTTAGTTTAGTTACCTGATGTACCTCTGATGCACTGTATGGACCTACACCTTCGCTCGGTTTTCAGTGCGTGGTCACTTTCCTCTGTGCTTTTTGATTTCACCGATAGGCCACTAATGAAACATACTCTTGTTGTAACAGCGAGCCGCAGGATGATGAAGACTATGATGTAACCAGATAAACTCCAAGGTGGGATGACAGTAAGATATGGTTCACTCATAACCCTGGTATCCAGTCCAAATGTCTGGTAACATCTTGGATTGTGCTGAAAGTGCTATATATGATGACTTTGCCATTGTGTTTGTAGTGATACATAAAATGTACTCTGTGTGTGCATGTAGGTCTGTCAGTACAATGTGCATGTTGGTTCCCCCGAATGAGCTCTTCTCCTAGCTTTGATCTGAACCAACATCTGATAAGCTTTCACATGTGACACATGTGTGAGATAATACTGGATTTCAAGTTGAAGTTCCCAACAACAGATGGGTTGTTTCAGTCCAGGCAGAGAAATGACGGGCTGACTTGGTTTCTCTTTTCAGCCCCCCCGAGTGCAATCAGTCAAAGGAAACTAAACAAAAAAAGAAATCTAGTGGGAAGTTGAAAATTAAGAGTCAAGTCAACCGTTGTTTCTCTGTCACCAAACAACAGTCTCTGTCTTGTTGTTTTTATTTGTTCTGCTTTTTAGAAAGTAGAAAATGAGAAAGTGCGGATGAAGATCAACACATCATGATGCTGTTGCGTTACAAAGGTGGATGTGGAGTTCTGTCACCAGGCGGGAACCGGTCTTTTTGAGCCGGTCCTATTTCTAACAGTAACATCTATGTGGTTTTCTGTGTGTGTGTGTGAGGCCAGACCGAACAACTGGTGTTTGTTAGGTTTTTGTTGTTTTTCTTCCAAAGTGCCAGGCATTTTGTAATCGTCTTTGACCGTCTCTCCATGTCTTCTTCTTCTTCACAGTATTTTTTGCATGCAGGGTAATTAAACCCCCCATGATGCTTTAAGGCAGGGGAGGGAGACGAGCAGAGAAATCCACCAATCGGGAGGGAGAGCCAAGTGGAGGAGGCAGGCACATATGCAACTGATGATGAGTCTGTCTGATAGTCTGTTTTAAACCTGCCCACCCCAAACCAGGGGGACTTCAAGTTACTGCAAAAAGACATCCACCGTTGTCCCTCACACTGCGGACACCTGTTCATCCTCTGTGGAGAGAGAAGACGGTCAGAGGTCAGAGGTTTCTCAAAAACTAGAGAAAAGAGTTTATGTCAGTGAAAGCTGAAAACTAGTAAGACCAAACCTTCTCAAAGCATGACACAAATTTTCAGAGTGATTTCTTGCTTTTCAGTCAGCATGATAAAAAAAGGTCAGCATTTCATTTTTAAGCATGTTACTGACACACGATGGAACTGGAGTCTTCACACCTGGTTCTGTGATACTGGGACATACACATATAAATTGACTTGACTTGCTGTGCCAGCATCAGATACATTACTGTGCTGCCTTTGGTGGACTTTTGCAGTACAATATAGTTTTGATTTGTTTAAGTGGTATTGTTTGTGTTTTAGAATGGTTATTAAATACACCTTTACAGCTACAATAATTTGGATATGTTAACAGATTCTCTGTGGTTATACTATACCGTTTCATTACTCAGTGTTGGGTATATTAGCAACAGAAGAACCCTCCTTCTTCCTCCTTCTCTATCTATATTTATTAGCTTTTTCTTTATTGTTTTCTACATTTTACAAATAATAACTGTAGCAAAATGTTCACTGGTTTACCCATCTGAATTTTAAGATTGTAATCTGATTATAATGTTGTACTGAAATCAGCAGAAAACAAAGGCTTTTTATTGCTTGTACCCCCATTTTAATAAATGTTCTATTTTTATCAGCCTATTTAAGTCATATCTGTCTAGGGATAACAGATGAAAAATAGCCTCCTGGCCAGCTCTGGTTCATTTACAGTAGTGATTCTTAAATTACAAACAACCGACTGTCTGGTGCATAGGAAAACATTCTAAAAATGAATTTTCAGGCTTAAATATGAGCCTGTGGAAAAGCCTCGTTTTAACTTATTTATTTACAATGTACCATGTACACATCTACACACATTTCTGCTTCTATGTTCAATACCAGACAACTACAGTGATAGAGAATTCATCCAGTCAGTGTAAGTGAGCCAGGTGTGTGCTGGTGCAGGAGAATGAGAGGATAGTAACGGACCTGCCTGCTAACGGATGCTGTTGGGCACAGTGTGTGAGACAGTGAGAGAGAAGTAGAGGCAGAGAAGTAGAGAGTTTTTGATCTACCCAGTATGGCCCCATGCATGGTGACACAGTGTGGGTTAAAGGTGAGGGCTCCACTCCAAATGAACAGTTCCCAGATCATAAATATTCAATGCCTGAATTTCAGTCTGTAGAGAATTGTCATTTGGAATGGGACCGATCCTACAGGTACTGTGAGAGGTTATTGGAGGGAATGGTCAGTCTCAGTCCAGTTGTGTATTCCTGTTCGCATGCAGTTTCATTGGTGTGGAAGGAGGCAACCGTATAAATGGGTCTTTACCTGTCTTGGGGACACGGGCCCTGCCTGTTAACCCCTGTACACACACTCTCATGGTTTGGCAATCTCTGGTGTCTGTGCCACTGGCTTTGGCTTCCTCAGAGCGACTAGTTTGGAAGACAAGGACTCACCCTCCTCTTCCTCCTCAGGTTCTTGCTCCTCAGCTGGTGAGCGAGTGCGATGGAGGCCACTTGCCCGTTGTTTGGCCCCCTGGTGGGCATGGTGGGAGTCGGGCGACTGGGTGACCATGCGCGAGCGCTGCAGAGCTGTGGTATAGTCTGGTGGCCGGCGGCCAGAGTGTGTCGCTGTGGGTGTGGGAACAGATGAGGCTAGGTGCTGTCCTTCAGAGAGGTCAGAGATGGACAGGGCTGTGTAGCCAGGGGGAGTCGGGGGAGGCTCACGGTAACGGCCCTCTTTCCGTGCTGAAGGGACACAAAAGAGAGGACGATAACATCACTAGGAGGTACGTTTATAAAGCCCTCTGGTGAAAATAGCGCTTTTACTAGTGATAGTGACATGAGATGAAAACGAATACTGAGACAGTGACAAGAGCTGTCATGCACCAATGGATCTTGAAAGTTGAAATGACATGATCAGTATTATAAACCTGGTGTACAAGAACATCCCAGACGTGGATTTTTTTTTTTACTGATCTAGACCATAAAAACATAGCAGAAACAAATCACTAACAAATTAATGACCTCACACTTCATCTGCTTTTTTAAAACAGTTGAAGAATTGGAAAAATATCCCTAAATTTTTTTGTTTAATCCATATAAAATTGTAATCTGTGTAAAAACAAGTTGTAGTTTTAGAGAAGAGTATAAATTTGTTTGGTTTAGTTCTATGGCAGATCTTTGTTTCTCTTGTGTTTTCTTGTGATAAAAAAACTATGCCTTATAAGTATAATTACAGTAAAGATGCTTTCTATAAAATGTGACCAAAGAGCAAGCAACAGCACTGTGAAATGCAGTCACTCACAAATGAGACCTTTACCCCCAGCAGTGATGGGTGATGGAGATGGCCGGCTGAGCTGCTTGGCCTCTTCTGACCCAGTGGATGTGATGCTACTTGTTTCCGGGTCAGTACTGACGTCCTTCCCTCCTCTCCTCTTGATGGTGCCGGTGTCACCCTCAGAGTCCTCTCCCCAGTATGCAGCTGAGGATGAGGAAGAGCTGGCAGATGCCCAGCTCCCCCTGGCCTGTGCTGCCCACAGTGCAGCAGGTCCTCCTAATAAGGCCTCTGGAGGGAGCCCTGCGATGCCACCTCCACTGCCCCCAAATGCCAGAGTCTCCCAGCTGCGTCCCTGCTGCATAGTCTGGATGTTGTCATGGGAACCAGAGGAGCACGATGTCCAGGAGCCACGGCCGCTGTCTGCAGCATCCAGAGAAACACGATCGCCCTGATCCTGAGTCAGCTCCTCTGAACTGGGTGATGATAGCACTGTAGGGCAGCCGGCGTAAATACCCCGACAGTCCTGCATCGATGAGTAAGACCTGTATGATATAAAAAAAAATAAGAAAAAGTACTTTTAAATGATGAAACATAAATTCCTCAGAAGAAAACACTCATTTACAAAGTAAGGTCTGAGTCTTCCTACCCCAGGCTGTACTGGTCGGGGTCGGTGGTGGCTCTTCGCTCCAGCCGTGGTCCCCCAGTGTGTGATTCCCCAACTCCGGAATGGCGGAGTCGCCGCTCCTCCTGAGCCATGTCGAAGGACGAGTTACTGACGAGGCTGGAGCGAGAGGAGATCTCACTGTGACCGGAGTCTGAGTAGGTGTCTCCCATCCTGTTGTAACCTGGAGGAGAGGAAGAGGAGGCACAGGGTGTGCTATTTCACTGACTGGGAGTATAATAAAAGTCTCATTCTCTAAGCATTTTGAGCTTTAGAGAGGGAAACACCGTGAAAAAAGTTCAACTTAGCTTGTGTACCTCAGTCTCAAAGACTAAACCCAACATCCAAATCTTACAAATCTTGTGGGAAACTATATAGCTTGTCCCTATAAAGGAGAGGCCAAACACAAAGCCCTAACATGACCCCCTACATGCTGAGTGGGTTCCAACGCACAGTTCCAATTTGATTTTTTTCTTACTTGCATTATAAATCACCTCTAATTCACATAACTTATCTCAGTCTGGTTTCAAACCAAGCATCACACTCAGACTGCAGGGATAGTCAAAGTCTGCCATTTCCAAGTTTGCTAACCAGCTCTTTGGGGCTGAGTGGATTAGATTCTTGCTGAAGCAGCAGTTTACTACAACATTCTGGATTTCAGCACAGCGCTGAAGTGTGTGGAAAAGTTGATCAAATAAATGTAACGGGATTAGGAAATGTACAACCACGTCCGGGGAGGTATAGAGAAATCACTGGTGCTGACTGCTGACACATGTATGTGCACGTTTAGCTGTAGGTGACTGTCATTGTGGCATTTGCTGTAGTCAGAGTTTAATAGCCCAGCAATCGTATTTCCTGGCTGTTATCAGCATAAATCACCCTAATGGCCTCTTCAGTCCTACCTATGTTTTTGATTTTGAGGAGAGGAGTGAATGTTTAACTGAATTTTTAGGAAGAATTTACTGCAAAGATGAATCAGAGGAGGTGACAACTGATCAGGCTTTTATGGTATTTTGTCTATATTATTATTAGGTTATTTGACTTTTACATTTAAAGTATAATTTTTAGCTTTGGTGTTTATGGTACTTTATATATTTTAATATGTTCTTAGTACATTTACAGTGAGTTTCTAACAATGTTTGTTGTAATGGCAACAATGTTAACTTAAGATATTTGGATATATTCTAGAGAACATTAAAGTACATTAATGGAGCATCTTTTGTTCCATGCAGTTGCAACAGTGTTGTGTTAAGAACACACCGAAGAGCTGATCTGAGTATAATGGCTGACAGTCACCCTGGCTGAACACAAAAAACAATGGATCAACCTGGGCTACAGCTACTATACAGCAGGTGGTGCTGGGCCAAGGCTGTGAAGATATGGAAAGACCTAAGTCACCCAAACAATGGACTCTTCTCTGTCGTGACCAGGGACATAGTTTTATTGCCTGAAGGCAAAAACAGAAAGAATGAGGAGGAGCTTCTTCCTGCAAGCCATTCGAGCCCTTAACCAGGACAAGACCATGGCCTGATGTTTGATTAAACATTCTATAGGTATACATAGACTCACAGGCTTGATAGGCCTCATTAGTGGATTATTTCAACAACTCTCATTTGCACATGTTCAGTTTATTCCTGGTCATTATGTAATTATCATATATGGCCAATGTACACTGTAACTGATGCACACAGCACTTTATAACATGTTATTTATATGTGTTTAATTATCTATTTTCTTTTATACTTCTTTTTTAACTATGTGCATAGTGTCTTAGTCGGTATCAGTCATCAAAGCACTTCACTGCATTTCATATTGTGAATGATTGTGTATGTGACAAAGTTTGAACTTCAAGTTTAATTTTTATGCAAAAATACATGAACACACCAGTGGTTTCTGGGGAATGCAGGGTAAAGGCATTACAACATTCACTGCTCTCACTTTTCTTTCTTTCTAACTACGTTTAATGCATTTGACTCCAGACTAGTTAGCACCAGGGTTCTCAGAACTAAAGACTTCTGTTCACTACCAGACTGATACCGGTTTACCTTTAGCTGCAGTGGGTTTAGACAGGAACACATGTTCGGTTCATGGCGCTGTGGCCTGCTAATGTCCCCAGCCTTGTGATTAAAGCAAACACGTCACACTTTATAGAACAGAGGGTAGGAATTTGTGTAACCTCCGATCAAATCAAATCAAATCAAATCAAATTTTATTTGTATAGCGCCAAATCACAACAAAAGTCATCTCAGGACACTTTACATAAGGTCTAGACCTTACTGTTATCAATATTATTACATAGGGAAAACCCAACAAATCCCCCTTGAGCAAGCACTTGGCGACAGTGGGGAGGAAAAACTCCCTTTAACGGAAGAAACCTCCGACAGACCCCGGCTCTTGGTGGGCGGCCTTCTGCCTCGACCGGTTGGGGTGAGTGGATAGAGGAGAGACAAAAGAAGAAAAGCAACAAGACACAACAATCAAACACTGATCAGGTCGATGTGGCCGGTGACTGCTCGTCAGAGATATAGAGCTCCAGGGCAACCTGCAGAAAGTTACAGGGAGAGAGAGAGAGGACACACTACGGGAGAGAGGAGAAACAAAGTTAGTAATGTGTAATGGGGGCATATAGAAGCATAGGGAGAGAGAGGAGAGGAG